TCCATCCATCCATCCATCCATCCATCCATCCATCCATCCATCCATCCCTCCACACATCCATACACCCATCCATCCATCCATCCATCCATCCACCCCTCCACACATTCATCCACCCATCCATCCATCCATCCATCCATCCATCCATCCATCCATCCATCCATCCATCCCTCCACACATCCATACACCCATCCATCCATCCATCCATCCATCCACCCCTCCACACATTCATCCACCCATCCATCCATCCATCCATCCATCCATCCATCCATCCATCCCATCCCATCCACCCATCCATCCATCCATCCATCCATTCATCCATCCACCCCTCCACACATCCATCCACCCATCCATCCATCCATCCATCCATCCACCCCTCCACACATCCACTCACCACCCACCCGTATACAACTGAGCGTAGAGTTACTGGTGAGTACCTTGATGAGATAACCTAGAGCTTTGATGCCCAGTCTGTTACACCCATCCATCCACCCACCCACCCATCCATCCATCCATCCATCCATCCACCCGCCCATCCATCCATCCATCCATCCATCCACCCGCCCATCCATCCATCCATCTATCCATCCATCCATCCATCCACCCCTCCACACACCCACCCATCTACCCATCCATCCACCCATCCATCCATCCATCTATCCACCCATCCATCCACTCACCACCCACCCGTATACAACTCAGCGTGGAGTTACTGGTGAGTCCCTTGATGAGATAACCTAGAGCTTTGATGCCCAGCCTGTTACACCCATCCATCCACCCACCCACCCATCCATCCACCCATCCACCCACCTATCCATCCATTCCCTCATCCATACACCCATCCATCCATCCATCCATCCACCCATCCATCCACACACCCCTCCACCCATCCACCCATGCATTCATCCATCCATCTATCCATCCATCCATCCATCCATCCACCCATCCATCCATCCACCCATCCATCCACCCCTCCATCCATCCATCCACCACCCACCCATATACAACTCAGCGTTGAGTTACCCATCCACCCATCCATCCATCCATCCATCCATCCATCCATCCATCCATCCATCCATCCATCCATCCATCCATCCATCCATCCATCCATCCATCCACTCACCCGTATACAACTCAGCGTAGAGTTGCTAGTGAGTCCCTTGATAAGATAACCTAGAGCTTTGATCCCCAGCCTGTTGCACGTCAGGTCCAGCTCTTTGAGCGTCTTGTTGGCCTTGAGAGACACGGCCAGGGCCCGACAACCGTCAAAGCCGAACCCGTTCCAGGCCAGGTTGAGGGTCCTGAGATACGTGTTTTTCTGGGAGGTGTTCAGACATTATATATTATAAATCAATGCCCGCTCTTCAGATGTGCTGAGTCTAACATTATGAATTTATTTTTTGATATTGCACAGTTCCAAGCCTAGAATTCTGAATATAGATCTATATATCTTTTGTTGTTACAGTTTCAAGCCCCAAATTCTGATTATTTTTTCTTATTAGTTCCAGACTCTTTGGTATCGGTTGCATTTATGCTCGTGAAATATTCTGTGAGAACTCCAATTTTAAATGTTGGAAAACGCAATAAAATATAAATAATGTAGCAAACATTAAAAATAAAAGAAATTTGATTTTCCCTTCACTCCAGAAAAATGTTTCTTCCATGGCTAAAAAGTGTTGAACAGCCCGATGACAATTTGTGAAAATATTATTTTTTTTAAACATCGGTATTGCCACTTACCTAATCATAAACGTATATATATATACGCATTGTGAGGGTGTATGTGTGGGGAGGGGTGGTGTTTTCTTTGTATGTGTGTGTGTGTGTGTGTGTGTGTGTGTGTATGTGTGTGTGTGTGTGTGTCTGTGTGTGTGTGTGTGTGTGTGTGTGTGTGAGTGAGTATGTGTGTTTGTGCCCACACATAATAAAACATTGTACCAAAACTCACAGCGAGAGACAAGGCTATATGCACGGCGCTATCTGTCCGGATGTTATTATACTGAAGGTTCAGGTGGTTGATTCTGGCTTTGCCAGAGCCCAAAGCGCGCGCTATCTGACGACAGCCCTGGAAGCCCAGATTGTTGTCATTCAAATCCAGCTCGCTTAGCTCCGGACAACTCTGAGGACAAAAATCAAGATGGATATCCCAGTGTATTTCTTTATTACTTACTGTGCGCAACGTTATTCCTCCTTTGTACGTAGACAGGTTGATCATCCAAGTGTCCAGCATCACAATCTTTCCTTAAATCCGCTCCTATTTAGATCTAGTCGCTTTTAAGTACACGAGGGCTACCCCCCAAAAATGCTGTTTCAAGGAAATCGAAGGTTAAGTTTTTGAACCCTTAATCAGTTTCTTTAAATACAAGGAGAGTTTTCTCTATAACCAAACAAATATACACACCAATGAAACTAAACTTCTCCTATAGGTAGGGCAATGCCCACTTTTGGTGTAGGTCAAGATTTCTGGAAACCCCCGAAACCTGGGTTAGCCTGCTTGTCCTTACACGCGACCATTTAACATAATATTTACTTAAAATATCACCAAACTGAGTAGAAATGGATGCTTTGAGCAGTAAACATACAGTGTGATAATAGATCAGCGGAATTTACTGAGGTTTGCTGGATGCTTTTGTTGACTGAGTAGAAATGAATCATCCAAGCAGTAAACATACAGTCTGACTATAAATAAAATGAACTAGCTGAGGTTTGGCACATTTTTGTTCTGACTGTAAGCGCCCGTGAGATGTTGTGAGCCTACTGAAGTGGAAAGTATAGCAAGAGTTGAGCTCGTTATAACAAAGTTCAATAACTTTACTGCTCTATTCACCTCAGAATGTTTGAGTATTTTGAAGCCTGCTTGGCTTTAGAATATAATATTATATTACTATAATATCTATATAATATAATATAAAATAATATAATGTAATATAATATAATATAATTATATATATATATATATATATATATAATATATTATATATATATATATATATATATATATATATATATATATATATATATATATATATATATATATATATATATTAAATACCAGAAATAAGTTGAAGTGTCGTTAACAAACACGTTAACATCTTTTACCATTGCGCAGACACATTTTTTGTTCCAAAACAGTAAACGAGAGCGTTTGAGCAGTATAATGTTTGCCTTTCTTTATACCACACGATGAAGTTTATGGCTGACATTGTCATTAACAAATCTGATCTACACATCTGCCGTAAGCTGAGAAAATGACTTTTTTTTCGTTTTGGCAGTCATTTTTTGTATTTGCTAAATCGAAAGCCTGATCAGTTACCCTACTTGTGTGGGAAAAATATAATGTGAAACTTAGAGCTTTTACTAGTTAAAAAAAAATAAAAATTCACATTTTGGAAGAACGCTAGTTTTAGATGGTTACGGTGACAAAAAGAAAGCCTCTTTGTCTCGAGGTTGCTGTGGTTTTTTAAAGCGTTTAATCAGTGTACGGAAGAAATGTCTCCAGCTCCTATAAAACTGTGGTTCCTGTCATATCGCGTGCTTACAGTCAAAAACCTCATGGGAACAGATCTCAGTCCGGGGTCCATGCCGCATGACTTCTTTAACTTTAGTAAGAGTTTCACGGCACTTGCAACACAGTAAGGTCATATAAGTGCCGAAGAATAGATGTGTTACAATAGGATAACAGACACCTAAAAGAATGAGGAGAGATAAGGACGATAGATGTCTGATAGGGAAGAAGAAGCAAACAACACCAGAGCACCCGCCAACCACCCGCCTCATGACTTAACGTGTACCACGCGGTTGACTACTGTACAGCTCCCACCATCTCCTGCCGTGCCAGTGAGACGTATCGATTCTATCGATCAGCAGTGATCGAACCCATTGTGGCCGCTCCAATGATTTTATTTGTTCATAATTGACAACCCTTGCTTGGCTTACTGTGACAGCTACAATAATCCACTGTTGACGTTGTGAATTCCTAAACGTTTCTAAATCAATCTTTATTTGGATTTAGAAAATAGGAGCCGCAGATTTTTCCTGACGCCAACAAATATCAATAGTAATAATAATAATGCAGATAATTTCTATAGCACCCACTCCCGAGTGAACACAGTTCTAAATATTATATATGGTTCTTGCTGTCAACTGAAACGAGTGGAGCTCATGCTGTCACAAGATCCCTATACCTGATTGTAATGGCATGACGCATGCTATGAACTGAACAATTTCGCAGAGCTATGAACGTGGGCTTTGAAATACAGACGAGGACAGCTGTCTTTGAGTAGCTCTCTGTGTGGTGGACACACGGCTGTGAATGTAAGGATTCTCACAGACATGTGATGACATTAAGTAGTCTCGTTTGGTTTGCTTTGTGCTGTCTTGTATTGGGACATTTAATGTTTACCCCCAGTGACCCCACTATACAAGGGGTGATTTTGATGAAGTAAGTCTTTTACGGCACTATCGGCTCAGTTTTGGTCATGTAAGCAGGGAGAAGGAAAGGGAAACAGAATAATAGATGGAAAGACAACATAACGAAACGGGCATGTTTTAAGTTGGGTTAAGTCCTTCGAAAGTCTGAAAGTAGAAAGGTGAGGAGAAAAGTGGTTGCCTGATCACCCTTGGTGCTCCAACGGTCATCTAGACTGAGGTGTAAGTTAGAAAGTGAGTAAGTAAATAAGTAAGTGAGTGAGTAAAAAGTAAAGTTGTTCCCGCATCCGATCCGGACATTGGGGATTGCCTTGTTAGTGAGACAACTTTTTGGGCCTTCGACATATTGTGGTAGGGTGGCCAGTTCCTTTCCACGCCGCCTTTACTTCCCCAACTCGAAGTCAGGTACCCATTACTGCTGGGTGGGCAGGAGGGGGTAAAAAAAATCCGTGTCCGAAACGAAGCTTGAACCCCGACTTTCTGCTTCGGAGACGAGCGCACTAACTGCTCCGAGACCGCACCCTAAAATAAGTGAGTAAGTAAGTAAATAAGACCCCTCCCCGGAATCACTGACAGCACAATAACGGTGACTTTGTTCCACTGATAGTGTTGTTACTATATTGTGGGTTACAGGCTCTACCTGTAGAACTTCACGAATTTATACGGTGGTAGAAGTTACAGTGCACGCAACAGGAGGGGGCTCCAGTGGCCTAGAGGTTAGGGTTCGCCTCTCTTTTAAAGGTTCCGGCTTCGAATCCGGGTAACGACGGGAAAATTTCCTCTCTAAAATTGTCTCCTTTTACCTCCTTTCCTAGTCTCTGTCGTCTGCTTTCGTCTCCTCTTTCTGCCCCCACCCCTTCACATCCTTTGCCCTCTCCTCTGGGCTTCTGACTTTTTCTGCAGCCTTTCTACTGCTTCTCCTTCGCTTCTTCTTACTGCTGTCTTTCAGCCACACCCCGGATCTTCTGGCAGGACACATCTGCACCTAGTTTTCTCGGACAAGGGTGAAAAGTCACGGAGGTGCCGTGTGCAAGTTGAGCACGTAAAAGATCCATTAGTGGTCGAGAAGTGTAGGCTTCGGCCGCCACCCGGGCAAAATTCAAAATTTCCTACCAACTGAAAATGCTCAATGCGTACCGCGTGTTCATTTGACCGTATGCAGTTGCGAGCGCCGTAAAACACTTACACAATAGGTTTTTAAAAAAATACATACACAGCAGGAAAATACACTGATACAAACAAAATGAAACGATGATAGTAAAACGATTAGTGGCGAGTAACATAAAGATGTGGAAAGCTTGCTGTACAATTCCTTTGCCACGTTGTTTTACATAATTTAACGGGCATTGAAATACCGACACACACACATACACGATCCATGTTCCAGACTCGATCTTTATAATTCATGCTCAGTGGTTTTGAAAAGACCTGGTTTTTATTGTTCTGTGGTAAAACTATAGATCTGGTTTCATTTGGAAGTAGGGCATAGAGGTCAGACTCAAACACTCAGAATGTAGAGGGAATATCATTGTTTGTGACTGAGGTTTTCTTTGTAACCGATTCCTCACGCGAAATAGCAATCTCCTTTAAGGTAAGAAACGGCTGAGAACAAGACCGTTAGGAAGCAGTCCGAAATCTTGAGAGTTGTTTTTGTTTGTCAAACCAAAAGCAGGGCTTGTATGGTGATCAAATCTTGATAAAAGCCAACAGTTTACTGTCACAATTCTAAAGACTGATCAACAGTTTACTGCCACAATTCTAAACACTGATCAACAGTTTACTGCCACAATTCTAAACACTGATCAACAGTTTACTGCCACAATTCTAAAGACTGATCAACAGTTTACTGCCACAATTCTAAAGACTGATCAACAGTTTACTGCCACAATTCTAAACACTGATCAACAGTTTACTGCCACAATTCTAAACACTGATCAACAGTTTACTGCCACAATTCTAAACACTGATCAACAGTTTACTGCCACAATTCTAAAGACTGATCAACAGTTTACTGCTACAATTCTAAAGACTGATCAACAGTTTACTGCCACAATTCTAAACACTGATCAACAGTTTACTGCCACAATTCTAAAGACTGATCAACAGTTTACTGCCACAATTCTAAAGACTGATCAACAGTTTACTGCCACAATTCTAAAGACTGATGGGATGTTTGAGAAAGCCTCAGTTTTGGCTTGAGAAAAAAATGACCCTGTCAAAATACGTCTCCCCAGGGCATTCACAGTTTCAGCCAAAACGTCTAGTGGAACAATTTGATTTTAAAAAACCCACTGTGAATGCTTTTTTTCTACTGTGATTTGCTCATCTGAATTGGTCACATTTAAGCACAAAGGGGCTATCCGGTGCTCCTTGTTCAGTTTCTTTAAAAGACAAGGAGAGTTTTCTCTAGTATGAAACTTAATATACACACTAATGAAACCAAACTTCTCCTATAGGTAGGACAATGCCCACTTTTGGTGTAGGTCAAGATTTCTAGAAACCCCCGAAATCTGGGTTAGCCCGCTTGTCCTTAAAAGCGACCAATTAAAACTGATCAGAATAAAAATGTTTCCCCGTCACACTGCAGGCAAAACAAGCAACTGAGATAAAACACGCGGATTGCACACATGTGCGAGAGAAAAAAAAGAAAACAAAAACGATGTAGTACACATAAGATTATTTTTATCCGAGCAGGCTAAAAATCATTTTTTTGTGTACACATCGTGTTTTTTTTTTTTTTTTTTTTTTTTTCTTTTCTTATCCGAGCAGGCGACCTAGCCATCTGGCATACAAGTAAACAAGCTGGCATCAGTGCACGGCTTATAAATGAGGATCTAGATAGATTCAACAACTACTGCTGCAAGTGGAAACTAAAAGCAAATTGTACCAAGACAATCTACACCGTCTTTACAAAAAGCCACAAAGTTGCAAAGCAAAATCTCACCATCTTACTTGCAGGAAACAAACTAGAAAAAGTTGAAAACCCGACCTACCTTGGGATCGAGCTGGACAGACAGTTTTCATGCAAAAACCATATCTGGAACCTGAAGACGAAGGCCAACAAGAGACTTAACCTTCTCAGACGACTGGCTAGCACTTCATGGGGAGCGGACAAGGATGCACTCAGACAGCTATATGTTGGCTATGTACGATCTGCCATGGAATATAACCTAACTTTACAGACAATCTGCAGCAAACCAACTCAGAGGTCTCTTGACAAAATTCAAAACCAAGCTGTACGATTTATCTCCGGAGCTTTGAGATCCACTCCAACTGCAGCTTGTGAAATCCACACGAACCTGGAACCCCTGGACTTGCGGAGAGAGGCAGCTGTAGTAGAGATGAGTGAGCGCTACAAAAGACTGGAGAAAAACCACCCAAACAGGAAAATAATTGAACAGAGACGACCAAAGAAACGGATTCATGGAAGATCAATACTTGACACAGCCACTGAACTAGCAGAAAAACACCATCTTCCATGTAACAGAGAAATGCTGAAACCTTTAAGACCAGAACTCCCCCCAAACACTAACATCAAGAACGCCAACATCAAAACCTCCCTCATAAAAGAGACAGTGAAAAAGGAATGTGACCCAGTAGAACTGAAGACAACAGCTCTGAAGACAATTGACTCCTACCCTAGTGATTCAATTCATATTTATACAGACGGGTCAGCCTTCAAGGGAACTATAAACACAGGCTTTGGGGTAAGAATTGAACATCCTGACAAAACATGTGAAGAGCTATTTGACGCATGTGGTACTTCTTGTACAAATTACGAGGCTGAGGCAATCGCCATTGAAGCAGCAATCCTCCACCTGACCAACATTTTCATAACATATCCAAACAAAATCAAGAACACTATTATCTTCACAGACGGAAAGTCAGTACTCCAAGCTCTGGAAAACATGAATTTCGAAAGCCCAGCCTGCCTATCTGTGGCTCAAAAAATCAACACCTTCCTACTGACATATACCGTCGACCTGACACTACAGTGGATACCTGGCCACAGCAACATCCCAGGAAACGACAGAGCAGACACCCTTGCCAAGAAGGGAGCATCACAAACACAACCACACAACCCAGTATCACAACAGACAGCCAAGAACATCATCAAATGCAACACCAGGGAACAGTGGCTGAATGGATGGGCAATGGGCAAAACTGGAAGAACTGTATTTGCACACATGACAGCCCCCAACTCTAAAGATGCAATAAATTCCCTGAGTAGAAGAGAACAAGTCACAATATTTCGCCTGCGAACACAACACATACCACTAAATTCCTACCTTAATAGGATCCGCAAGGATACCCCACCCGACTGCCCGTTGTGCGACTGCCAGGATGAAACAGTACCACACCACCTCTTTAACTGTCCTGCACTTTGTGACCTGCGTAGCACCTACCTACCTGCCTCCCCAGACATCGGGAACACTCTATACAGCGACAAAGCACAGCTGATTAAAACCTGTCAATTCTTTGCCATATCGACAGACCGAAGGGCTAGAACCCAAATGGCCGCTGGATCGGAAAAGTAAAAGTAAAGTAAAGTATCCGAGCAGGCTGTTATTTGTCGAGCCACGACTGAGCTGACGTCAAAGAGCCAAACAACAAGACGCTCAGTTAAAATTTAAATCAGACCCATTCGCACCATAAATCAGCGTATAAAAAAAAATAATTTTTTGGCAGAGTCGGATGGACTTGTGGTTAGGCTCTAGGACTATCAACCGTTAGGTCGTGAGTTCAAATCCCACCTGGAGCTTGACATTGCGTCCTTGGGAGAGACACTTTATGCGAAATTTCTTCACTTTATCCAGGTGAGATTTGGTGCTCGGCTGTAGACAGCGAAACATCTTGTCAGTTTGTCCGTGTTTTAGCGCGAGTAGTAACATCCACCATCCTTATCTCTACACCTTTTTAACTTACGTTACTCTCTAGAAACACCTCTGACCTTCGGCACTAATATAACCTAATATTGTTGCAAGCGCCGTAAAAATCCTACAACAAAAGCTAAAGACATGGCATTGCCTTACCGTGATGATCTGAGCCAGGATCTCTCCATCTTGTTGCTGTAGTTTGTTACTGTCCAGGTACAGACGTTTGAGTACAGGGTTGTGGGGCAGAGTTTGGCTCAGGGCTGTCAGTCCCTCCCTTCCGGGGCCCGTCTTAGACAGGTTCTGAGGGAGACAACAACAGCAGCAGGTGGAGAATAAAAAACTTAAATTACAACTACGGTGTTAAAGTGCAGTAATTGTGACAAACTGGGCCTGTGACAAACCTGTGACACCCCCCCCCCCCACCCCTTTCTGTATACAAGCAAAATATTCAAGCATGTTCTCTCTTTCGTTTTTCAGGTGATTTCAAACTTCCCTACAGCAGAACAAACAAAGCAAACAAAACCAAACAAAGAGTGAACCAAACCCCGACACAATCAACACCTTAACAAAAAACAGAGACAAGAAATTAAATGTCACCTACCAGTTCTAAGATGGTCCTGTTGGCGTAGAGCATCTCCGCTATACAAGAGGTGCCCAGGGGTCCTAGGGGGTTGTCAGACAGGTCTAAGGTACTGGTGCGCTTGTCCGACTGTCTCAGGGGTTGGGATGGTGGGTGGGGGAGGAAGAGGGGGGGGGCAGACGAGATTTTGTATTTGTAAACATTATAGTTGTACATGAAGAGCAGAGGGGAAAAACAACTGCAGTCACAAACTGGAAATTGTGAGGGTGCCAATTTTAAAAATCTCTCTCTCTCTCTCTCTCTCTCTCTCTCTCTCTCTCTCTCTCTCTCTCTCTCTCTCTCTCTATCTCTCTCCCTCTCTCTCTCTCTCGTTTTCTCTCTCACTCACACACAAACACTTTTACCTACTGGCTCATTCACACGCACACACACACACACACACACACACACACACACACACACACACACACACACACACACACACACACAAACAAAAACAAATACACACACAGAGTCATCTTGCCCCAGCATTCCACACACAAGTGACGTCACACCTAGCTACCATTACGTGACCTACCACAAGCGCTATGGCGATAGGTTTGGCGTCTTTGCACGTCAACATCCTGTGACGTAGATCTATGCACGCCTTCCCACACTGCCTCAAGAACGTGGCGTTCCCTTTCAATCGGCACTTGGCACAGGCTGTCTTGTAGGTCTTCAGTAGCCGGTTCTTGGCGCGATTCGGCGATGCCCCTCCCGCCCCGCCCCCTGAAAGAATAAAAAAGTAAACAATAATATTAGACCTTTTGTCTGTGTTAAATTCATTGTAATTTTAACCTGTTTAACCCTATCCGTACGTCATGTTTTACTATTGTATCCATACGACGTGGGGAACTCTGTGCCACCACTTTCCAAAGAGGAAAGTTACACGTTAATCTGATCCGTATATTTTGCACAGCAGTCGGTCAAAATGATTTTTTTGAGAAATACTGAAAGATTTAAAGAGATCTTCGGACTAGAAGTATTCTAAGATGTGAAGAATACAACCACGGTGGTACAAAATGACCACAGGGCGTACGGATAAGGTTAAACAGGCAACTGCGCTCTAAATAGAATGTGTACAGAATTTGAAAAGGTGAGAAAGTGAAGTCAATCTTGCTATAATAAATAAGATGGTTCATAAAAAAAATATTTTCAACTGTATCAATGCTATTTCTTTTGTCGGGAGTGTTGCTGCTGCTGCTGCTGCTGCTGCTGCTGATGATGATGATGATGATCGTGATGATGATGTTGTTGTGTAACGCTGCCTATAGTTGTATTATGTACTCTTCATTTTCTTCCTGAATATTATGTGAAGACTGTAGGGGAGAAACGACAGTGGTCACAAACTGAAAGTCGCGAGTGTACCAATTTTGGACGCTTGTTGACTCATAACTGTATTTCTGTTCAGCTGTTGGTTGATTATTATTTGTTAGATTTCCCATTCAACAACACATGACTAAAACCACCAGTCAAACAAATATAAAGTTATGAGTCCTCAAGCTTTTAAAATTGGCACCCTCACAATTACCAGTTTGTGACTACAGTCGTTTTTCTCCTGTGCGCTTCATGTGTTTCCCAAACTCAACTGAGCACCAAACCAGCTGCTTTGATCCTACCTCTCGAGGTCAACCTGAGCTGAGAGAGATACAGCATCCCAACGGAGAAGCAGACATTCTTGATTTTAAAAGTATCTCCTAACTACGCTAATTTTCAATAACGACGATTTTCATCACTTGAAGTGGAAAGCAATGGGTAAATAAAATAAAAGTTTAAAAAATATCAACTCATACACACATGGGTTACAACATTGTCTTTATCAAATGCAGACACACACACACACACACACACACACACACACACACACACACACACACACACACACACACACACACACACACACACACAAACACACACACACATACAGACGCGCGCACGCGCGGAGCACATACACACACACACACATGAGCACACATACACACATCTATGTAATAAGAAACACACGAAAACAACAATAATAATAACAACAACAACAATAACGACAACAAAAGCAACAACAAAGACAACAACAAAGACAACAATAACAACAGCAGCAACAAAACCGACACGCAAAAACACAAACACAAACACACACAAGAACTCCCGCTAAATTATTTGTGTTTTTTAAAATGTAAGCACATGAGCTATTGTAGCATTACCTGTGCCTTCTCACCTACTCTTAGGTTACAGTCTGTGTTCTCGGACTTATCTTTTTAAAAGTGTTGTTTAAATAAGAGTTTTACATCACACGCAACACAACTAGGTAATACGAGTGGCGAAGATTAGAAGTGTTACTTATGTGTATCTGAAAAGAAATAAAGAAGGGGAGAGATAAGGATGATAACACTTGTATTTTATAATGAGAACGAAGGAGCAAACCACACCAAAGCGCCCATCAGTCACTCGCGATCCCTTAGTGTCTTTTGAAACGATATACTCACAGAATAAACAAAACAACAACAACAACCCCTCCCCCAAAAACAAAACAAAACAAAAGAAAACGAACGACCTACCTTCGTCCTCCGAGCTGGCGTCACTGAGGTCTGTGTCAAACTCCTCAGAAGGGCGGCGTGGTTTGCTCTCCTGTGAGGGAGTCTCGAGAAAACCTGAGGATTCCTCTTCGAGTTCAAGAAACGCGTTACCAAGGCTACGCACATCTTCCTTCCCATTGACACCACCATCTTCCTTCGGTTCATCGTCTGCGAAGTCGTCGTCGTCATCCGGGAAACCTTCGTCGTCGTCATAGAGTAAGTCCTCTTCCTTCAGGTCGTAGAGATCTACGTCGTAGATATCTCCCTCTTGGTTTATCTGCTCGCTGATGGCGTCCAGGAAACGACCGCCGTTGGGGAACTTACTGTCAGGTACCTTGACCTCTAGGGACTCGGGACCTTGTGTCTGTCGTCTGAGCGGGATTTGGAGGGCGTCTCGCGGCGAGATAAGAGCACTCAACGACTGAGGGGCAACGTCAAAGTTGGAGAGTATGGCTTTTTCCTTTTTGTCTAGTTTCTCCAGTAGACCACCCACAGAGAGACGATGACGGCTTAGTATGACGTCATCTGCAGAGAGCCTGCGATTGGCCAATGGGGAGAGATTGGAGAAAGTAGGTGGCGGAAGTTGTTCTTTTCGCGGGCTGAGTATTCCCAGGTTTTCCTTCTGCTCACTGGGTGATTTCTTTTCTTTGTCTTTCTTCTTTTTCTTCTTTGTGGGTATTGGTGGCGTCGCTTGTGTGTCTGCTTTGTGCTGGAGTTCTGCTTCCTTCATGGCTTTCCGGATCTTCCAGTTGTCGCTGGTGTGAGTGACCAGGAAGTTCCGGCCTATTGTTGGTAGCTGGTGGTCGGGAGAGTTGTTGTTCTCGTCTGCTTGTTCTTCTTCTGAGATGTTCGGCAGTTTGTTCTTCACAGACATTTTCGATTTTCTTCTTTGTCCTTCTGGTTCTTCTGTTATTTCCGAGTGTTCCGTTTCCGTTGTGTCCACCACGCTGATGGATGGGCGAGGCGTTCTGAGGGAGTCTTGTGTCTGGTTCTGCTCGGTGGGGTCCATTGTTGCGTTCAGAATTTTGATTAGCTAACTATCCAGACAACTCTCCAATACGGTTTGTATAGCAGGGCGTAGAGACAACTTTCAAACGATGAGTATTTTCCTTCTACCCTATGTCATGTGGAGGGGAATGTATGGCTCTGAAATGACACAATAAACGAACAATTAGTTTTTGTTGTTGATCTTTAGGAGTTTGACAAGAATCATAATAAGCTAAGTTTAATTATGAAAGTAGCTTGTCTGCATTTCGAGATATCGAGACAAGAAAAAGCATTCAGAATGTCCATTCATTATTACTGTGCAGATGTGAGGTTACGTTCCTTCGTAGATCCACCATGTCTTCAACTACGGCTGTCTTGTGCTTCGGTTCATTTCTCTGTTTATTTCGTTCCATCGAAAAGAAATGTGAGGCAGCGTGGTGGAATCAGGCAATTTTTGGGCTTGTAGAGTTATTTGTATCAACTTAAAGATTGTTCACTTGTCTTTATTTGGATGAAAAAAATATCTATTTATCTTGAATTCAAGTCGAGATATTTGCAAATGAAGGAGGTGGGGGTCACCTGTTTTCAGAGGTAAAAATTAGTGAGAAAATGGCAACCAAAGATTCGTTATTTCTTTAGCTTAAGAGTTCGTGGTAACTGATAATTTACATTTTTTGCGCCTTTAATCAACGTTTTTAAGAAAAATCTACAAAGAAATGAGTTCTTTAATGGGCATGAAAGGTGTTGGGCCGAAAAACAAAATTTTGATAAAAATTCACAAACCTGCGGAAAAATGCAAGTTTCTTCATTTTGATTATTTTGACGAGAGCCTGATTTCACCACGCTGCCTCACAAATCACCAAATCCCTATTCCACGTCTCGGGATAACTAGACGGAGTGATCCAAAATTTTGAAAGAAAGCAAGAAAGAAAGAAAGAAAGAATACGAATAAAAAACTTGTATGTCCTTCACACAGTGAACTATGAGAGTCTGGCCACTTATATGTTGAGGTCACGTGCAAACTTCTGTACATAGCCTAAGTCAGGGTATGCATATTCATGTCATGATAAATGGTCGCTTTTAAGGACAAGTCAGCTAACCCAGATTTCGTGGGTTTCCAGAAATCTTGACCTACACCAAAAGTGGGCATTGCCCTACCTATAGGAGAAGTTTGGTTTCATTGGTGTGTATATTTGTTTGGTTATAGAGAAAACTCTCGTTGTCTTTTATAGAAACTGAACAAGAGTTCAAAAGTTTAACCTGCGATTTTCTCAAAATAGCGTTTTTCGGGATAGCCCCCTTGTGCTTAAAAGCGACCAAACGTGCTTTGAGAACGAGATCCAGGTATAAAAACTGGTAGATAAAACCTTATCTAATCTGAGATAACAGTTCCATTTTTTATTTCTTTTACGCTCCGCAAGAATATGGAATAAATATCACTTCATTCACTGTAACCTGCTCACTGAAACATTTGAACGATCCCCGACTGTGTGCACAGGCACTGTGGCAGGGGGATAAGCTTTTACAGTGGCAGGGGGATAAGCTTTTATATCTCCTGAAAGAAGTGGGAAGCGAGCTTTACGAAGGACAGATTGTCTAACTGCTCAGTTTTCGTCATTGTCTCCTGGCGCACATACAATGGTCGAAAATATAAAGAAATGAATATGACAACGAGTCTTTTCAGTATTAATGGTCAAATCAAAACTATCACTTGAGAAATTTAAAAAAAAAATGAAAGCACAACT